AGGGCAAAAAGTGGAAAGGTCGTACCATCTCTGGCCAAGTTAGGGCCAAGGATCATTTGATCCTCACTTAAGATGAAGGTGGTACCGATGAGGTCTCCTACAGTCAGATCGAGTGGGGAATTGAGGAGGAGGACAGTAGCATGGGCCAGGGGAGGACCTATGCTGTTGTCGCGGCTGGAGGGAGGCCGCAAAGTAGAGGAGGAAGCCAGGCCACGGGAGGTCGAGGACCGGGCGCACAGGGGTTGGCGGTCAAGGGAACTGTCAAGTGGGAGGTAGGGGTCAAGGTCCCCCGCCAAATCATCAAGGTCCCAGTCGGTCCCCGCAGCGACGAGGTGGAGGATCACCTCAAAGGAGAGGAGGTTGGCACCCAGGTTGGCCACAAGGCCGGTCTTGGGAAGATGGACCAGGGGCAGTGCGTATATTGCGGTGACCCGGCCCATATAATTAAATATTGTCTGAGTCCTAAGTATAGACAGGCCCGATGGGCTGCCCAGGAGTCAAAAGGCGGCCGTCGGTAGGGGTGGCAACTGACCCTACTTCTAGGCCATGTAGGGAGGCGAGCACACTCGTACAGAAAACTCCCACACCACATGAGTCTTCGACAGAGGTTGCAGGCCCGTGCCTAACTAGCTGTCTAGAGACTGCTTGTGTCAGCGTCTCTCTAGGCACTTCCCTCACAGGCGTGGCAAAGGAGTTGAAGGAGAGGATGCCTCCCTGGGTCAAAATGAAGAAAGATAGTAAAGGGCAGCTAGTGTTAGACTAAGTTGACGTAAAGGTTTTTAGAAGTAGAGTAGGGGTCTTTATAAACTCGGGGGCCATCCGCAGTTACATTAACCGTAAAGCGCTGAAGAAGTTGAGGCTAGGGTTGAAAGTCCAAAAGTTGGAAGACCCCATAGTTAGGGTCCTCACATACAACCGCATGATGCGTGTTGAGGACTGCGTAGAGGTAGTCCAAGCGTATTTCTGCTTAGAGAAAGATGAGAAGGTGGAAAAAATTCTCCATTCCCTGACTCTCCTCGTACAGGATGACCTTCCTTTTGACATCGTCCTAGGGATGGATTGGGGAGAGGCAGCAGGGGCCACACTCCACTTGAGAGAGCATGAGTGTAGGCTCCCTAGTCCGTCAGGCGAGGTTAAGACTGCCCGCCTGTTTCATGTGTCTGGAGTAGATAACTCCTTGGCACGTTGCTGTCTCAGTGCTCCCGCGTTTGTGCGACTAGTGCGAAAGGAGCAGTTAGAGGATTAGATCTTCGTAGCTTATATCAGACCTGTCATTGAGCCTAAGGAAGAGGATAGCCCCATAGATCCAACCATTGACAAGTTGCTGAAAGAATTTAAAGATTTGACGGAGCCACCAACAGGAGTAGTACCGCGGCCGATCCAGCACAGGATAGAGATAGAGCCTGGCAGTAGAACTCCTAAGGGAGCAGCTTATAAGATGTCCCTTAGAAAGTTAGAAGAACTATGCAAGCAGTTGGATAAACTCCTTGAGAAAGGTTGGATTAGGCCTAGTTCATCTCCTTTTGGAGCACCGGTACTATTTGTCCCCAAGACGGAAGGAGAATTGCGTATATGTATAGACTATAGGGGTCTGAACGTGATCCCAGTAAAGAACGCAGAGTCGCTGCCCAGGATAGACGATCTTTTAGATCGGGTGCAGGGTTGCAAATATTTTTTCAAAGATCGATTTGAAGTCCGGATATCATCAGATAGAGGTCCATCTTGATGACCAGTACAAGACTGCGTTCCGGACTAGATATGGGCACTATAAGCTTATAGTGATGCCCTTTGGACTAACCAACGCGCCTACCACATTCAAGCGCTATATGAATGATTTGTTTAGGCCGTGGTTAGATAGATTTGTCGTAGTGTATTTAGACGACATCCTAGTGTTCAGTAGGATCCTCCAAGAGCACCAGGGTCATTTGAGGCAGGTCTTGAAGAAGCTGAGAGAGGCTAACTTCAAGATCAATGTGAAGAAGTGTGAGTGGGCCAAGACATAAGTCTTGTACTTGGGCCACATGTTAGACGAAGATGGCATTAAGCAAGAGGACAACAAGATAGCGACTATTAGAGATTGGCCGACGCCCCGCACGTTGACTGAATTGCAGTCGTTCCTAGGCCTAGCCAACTACTATAGGAAGTTCGTGAGGAACTTCTCAACTATCGCCGCTCCCTTTCGTAGGTTGCTTAAGAAAGAGGCAATCTGGCAGTGGGATAACGACTGTATGTCTGCGCTAAAGAAGTTAAAGCGCGCGTTGATAGAGTATCCTCTCCTCAAAGTAGCAGATACGTCTTTGCCATTTGTCGTCACCACGGACGCGAGTCAGTATGGTATAGGCGCCGTGTTACAACAAGACGACGGCAATGGCTACAGACCCGTAGAGTTCATGTCAGCGAGGATGCCCTTAGAGAAGGTAGCCACCTCGACGTATGAGAGAGAACTCTACGCTCTCAGGCAGGCCTCAGAGCACTGGAAGCATTACCTGCTTGAGAGGCACTTCAAGGTATATTCAGACCATGAGACCCTTAGATGGCTGAAGACACAGGCCAATATGACACCTAAGTTGACTAGGTGGGCCACTGAGATAGACCAGTACGACTTTGAGCTCAAGCCAGTTAAGGGCAAGTACAACGTAGTTGCGGATGCTCAGAGTAGGAAATCAGACTACTTTCGAGCTATAGTTCACTATCTGGACATAGGGAGTGACCTGCAGGAGAAAGTTAGACAGGCGTATGCGCAGGACCCTATTTATAGTGACCTCCTCAAAAGAGTTAAGTAGCCCCAGAGACCGAGCTAGATTACCGCACTACAGAGGGGTTGCTATTTGAGAAGACCAATGTAGTAGATCGTCTGTGCGTTCCTAACAGCGAGGAGATCCGTAGTTTGATCCTAGGGACGCCGGACCCGTTTTCCGGTTGATATCATTCAACAACAGTCGTCGTTTTAAGGGGGGGGTGTGGCCGGAATAAAAAAAACCGGGGGCCCCTCCAAAAAAAAAAAAAAAAAAAAAAAAAAAAAAAGAGGAACAAATGCTCAAGCTTTCACACAGTAAGTTAGTAACCCCTATGAAAAAAGGGAAAAAAAAAAGAAATCGTACATGATGGTGTGGCTGTGAGATGTGTGAGATGAGTTAGGGGGTGAAGTACTCATCTCGGGGCTTAACTTTTTTTTTTTTTTCCGTTCTTGTTGGCCACTCCTTTTGAAAAGGGGACAGTCATCCGGCAGCCTAGCTCAGTTGGTTAGGCATGCAAGTGGCATTCAGGAGGTTGTGGGTTCGAGCCCCATGACTGCATGCGGCGCACTTAGTGCCAACCGACTGGGACTGTCTGCTTGATACCCCTGATCGGTATCGGTAGGGTCTATGACCAACACGGGTGTGAGTGTGCGCGTGATTGGGTTCGGTGCGGTGTGTGGGAGAGTCTTGGCCATAGCCACTGGCCCACTGCTGCTACTCGATAGGGGGTGGGGGACGATGAAAAGAAAAGCACAGCTACTCTGGTAAAATGCTCGGTCTTTGTGTTCGCCGAACCCCGACTGGAGGCCCCACCCCATCTCTGACCACCGCTGTTGGGTCGGGGGGCAACATGAATACCTCTAAGTTTGTGAGGCCCTATGTTTGCAGGGGTCTCCTCTATATAGCCTTAGGAATAGTGATAGCCTGTAGATAGGTACTGAAAGGCAAAAGAATTTGAGAGAAGAATATAGTGAAGTTTTCCCAGGGGGCAGTGTGAGA